GGGGGGGGGGGGGTGCTGACAGGCTTCCACGAGTGCAATGTATGAGGTGACTCGCAGTGACTGCTCCGTAGTAATGGGAGCTGTTGCTACCATAGTCCACTTTCAAGTCTGATACTTAGGATGCTGCAGGGACTCTAGTAAACCGGCCGATACCAGGAACCAGAACATCGAGAAATGTATTGGGCTGTAGTTGTCAAGGGTGGAAGAGGCAGTGAAGCTTGGTTTGATACCAGACAGCGCGTTTAGCTGACAAACTGGGTAGGACATGAGCAGAGAGGTAGGGAGGGCATTGCAAGGAAAGGCGGGAGAAAGTTAATCTAGAATTGGGTGGAAATACAGAAATAAGTGTTTGGAGGAAATGCCTAAGAAAGAGTTCACCCTTATCGAGGTCACTTGGTGATGACAATAGGACAACTGGTGAAACGCCCTGCAAAGTCGGTCATGTTTAGTTGGACAGGAGTAAATGATTAGAGACCCTGCCCCCAACATGCAACCATTCCACCTCCCCCTCTAGTGTCTGCTCCGCTCATGTTTGCAGCTGTAAATCCCGAAGTCATTTTTGCCACCATATGGTGTCCACCTTCCCTAGCAAACTTGTCTCTTCCTTCTCCTGCAACACCCTTCTTTTATTATAGCATTTTCCCTTTGCTGTGGTTTTCATTCATTTCCTTCTCTTCCTAAAACTACCTTTGGCTCCAAGTCTTCCACTCAAGAAGCTATTGTGATTCCCTACTGCTGAGTGTATTGTATTTAATTTAACTCCTGGCTGACTCTCAAAACCCTCCATAATTGGCCCACCCTGCCTCTCCAGTCTGATTTCCGCTTCTCCTCCTGCTCAGCTTCAGTTACCCTGCAGACTGCTCTCTCCCCTGGCTTTCCACCTCAACATGCTGGGTTTCTCTAGTCTGGAATAGGTCCCCTGGCCTAGGCACTCATTATTCAGGACACAGTTCAAGTTCCGCCACCTCCAGGAAGCCTTCTCATTTTTGCATTGGGCACTCTTTTTCTTTTTTTTCTTGTTCAAAATATTACAGATGTCCCTTTTTCTCCCCAATGACCCATTCCATCCAGTCCCACCCCCCTTCAGTGGGCACTCTTTGCTGAAGTCCTATTTGCTTATTTCTAGTTCCATGGGTATTTTATGTTGACTCCTCTCTGATTGATTCACACATGCTCCCCTTGTCTAACCCACAGCCTTGTAAATAGGTTCAGGAAAGGGTGTTCTGTTGCTGCCCACAGCACCAGGCATATTGTGGGCATATAATATATTCTCAGTAAATGGTTGATGTAAATATTGGCATCATGTTCAAAGAGATTAAAACTGACAGTGAAGGATGAGATTGGATCACTGAAACCTGTAATACAAGGAGACTAGTGAGGGCTCGTGAGTTGAGTCCTTGGGTTTGCAGGTCTGATGACAAATTTGTGGCACTTGAGAGAGCTGAGTGGAAAGGCCAGTTGATTATGGCAGGATGGCCTGATGACTTGGACTTTAGGAAAAACTTAAGCAGGAAATTTTGACCATGATATCATCTTAGACTCTTATAAAGAATTACTCTTCCAAGTTTCTTTTGAGGTTACTTCATATTAGAAACAAATGCCTGGTTGGCGTGGCTCAGTGGTTGAGCGTCAACCTGTGAACCAGGAGGCCACAGTTTGATTCCCAGTCAGGGCACATGCCTGGGTTTCCAGCTCAATCCCCAGTAGGGGCGTGCAGGAGGCAGACAATCCATGACTCTCTCTCATCATTGATGTTTCTCTCTCTCTCCCCCTCTCTCTGAAATCAATAAAAAATTTAAAAAAACATTAAAAAAAAACCCAACACTACATTTCATCTACTTAAATATGCTTATCCTATCTTTCACCTGTGTCTGTTACTGGATTCATTCTGTCTTCATTGGTTTCTATCCTTCCTCTCTCTCTTTTTTTTTAATCCTCACATGAGGATATTTTTTCCATTGCTTTTCAGAGAGAGTGGATGGGAGAGAGAGAAAGAGGGAAAGAGAAACATCGATATGAAAGAGACGTATTGACTGGTTGCCTCCCGCACACGCCCCAACCAGGACCAGGGACAGAGCCTGAAACCAAGGTACGTGCCCTTGAGCAGAGTCGAACCCGGGACCCTTCAGCCCACAGGCCGAAGCTCTAACCGCTGAACCAAACTGGCTAGGGCTCCTCTCTCTTTCTGTAGCATCCTCTGTAGGAGGAGAAACAGCAGAATTCCAAAACACCGTACAGATCAAAAGTCTCAATATTTGTTTAAAAGCAATGATAACAAAACAAACACAATGTAAACAAAATGCGCCCCAAAGCCTATTTGATGAGTAGGATCTACCAGGTAAACCAGATGTACTGTATGGGTTTTCTTATTTCTGGTCCCAGGAGTGTGGGCTGGATACTTTTTATTGTTGTAAACTATGCACATTAATAGAGCACAGCCCTTGCCCCTGTGCTGGCTGACAGAGTGCTCTTCAGTGCTTTTCCTCTGCTCCCTCTTTTTATACTATCAGTTTCAAAAAATAGTTGGGTTTTAAGTGATTCTCACTAGAGAAATTGGCTTAATGATTTTTTTAAATCTCCAGTTAAGTTGTGCCTTCACCAACCTTTAGAACATAGCAGAAATTTTAGGGGTTTTTTCCATTTACGGATTAACAATCTTTTGTAACTCAAAAATTATATTGCCCTGGCCAGGTAGCTCAGTTGATTAGAGCATCATCCCGATAGGCCAAGGTTGCAGGTTCGATCCCTGGTCAGGGCACATATAAGAATCAACCAAGGGATGCATAAATGAATAAATGAGTGGAACAACAACTCAATGTTTCTTTCACGCCCTCTCTCTCACTCTCTCTCAAAAACAAAGAAAAAAACATGCACATGCCTGTTGCAAAAAATCTTAAATATACAGAAATACAAAGGGAAGAAAAAAAATCACCCATAATCTTATCAACTAGAGATAACCAATGTTAACATTTGGAACTTATCAATACATGTTAAATCCAATTTCCTTAGCAAAATGAAATTTTATGCACACCGCTTCATTTACACTTAATGTGAGCCTCTTGCATTACTACACAGCAGTCAGAAATGAACTCTTGTGTTGGAAATTAAAGTTTATTCAAGTTTAGAATCTAGATGGACATGATTACAATTAAATCTTTACACATATCCATGTTTATTTCCTTAGGATAAACTTCTAAAAGAACTGCTATGTGAAAGAATATGAACTTTTTAAAGCTCTTGATACATAATTTCAAGTTGCTTTCCAGAATGGCTGTACTAATTTTACTCCCATCCTGGAACACACACACCTCTTCATTTTTGCTCACTTAAACAGAAGAAAAATGGTACCTCATATTATTTCCTTTCCTTTCATAGTTAGGGATGTGGAACTTTTCAGATGTCTATCATCCATTTGTACTTTTTATGAAAGTTCTGTATATTTTCTCCTTTTATCTCTTTTGACATCATCAAAAATGAACCTTAAGGTAGCCTATGGACTTTGGATGATTATGATGTGTCAGTGTAAGTTCATCTTTGATAACAAATGTACCACTCTGGTGAGCGATGTTGATAACTGGGGAGACTGTGTATGTGTGGGGGCAAGGGTAGATGGGAAATTTTGTTGTGAACCTAAAACTGCTCTTTAAAAAGTCTTGAAAATAAATGATAGATAGATAGATAGATAGATAGATAGATAGATAGATAGATAGATGATAGATAGATGATAGATAGATACATAGATACATAGATGATAGATAGATAGACAGATGATAGATGTTTGAGGTTGGGGAAGAAATTCTAGTATAAAAATGTAGACATCAATAAAATAAAACAACAATGTTTGCAATGTCTAAGTGCCCAGCGTCTCAAGAGTAGTAAAGGATTTATTATCTTGAAAGCAGTGGAAAGCCTCACAGATTTTTAAGCAGGAGAAAAAGGGGTTTGGAGAAGGAGGGACTGTAGGTCGGATGGTCAGCTGGGGGACTATTGCTTTGGACGTAACAACAGCAAAGAGAGGAGCGGATGGAGGTAGAATGTACAGGACTCACTCCCCAGTTGACTGAAGAGGAGGGTAAAAGATAATGACCACGCTTCTGGTTTCGTGAAACTGCTGACCTGACCACCCACCGCAGGTTCAATAAGACATTGTGTTAATTTCTCATTGAAAGCAGAAACAGGCTTTAGCCAAGTCTACACTTTTTAAAAGATCACATCTAGAAAATACAACATGATATATACATTGGGAAGTCATTTATTTCCATAAATGCAATTTAAAAATGATCCATATGTAGAAAGGCAAAGATAGTTTGCATAACAATACCCCTTAACACACACACCCCCTTTTCACCTAGAGGCAGGGTCTGTAGAAGGGGACCAGGCCCAAGAAGGAACATAAAATAAGGCTGAGACAGGAGAGAAAGCGTGCAGGTTGGTAGCAGGCCAGAGTCCGGTTAGCACTCCTCTTAGGAGTGAGATGAGCTGCAGTGAAGCCAGGCAGCCGCAGCTAATGGACCCACACTGTATCGCGCAGACTGCATCCCGGGTACAAGCGCCCACATTTCCTACGAGCTCAGGTTCACCCTCTCACTCCCTGTGCACTTCTGAAGACAGTGGAAGCTCTCAATACCTGTGACTTGCTCAAGTGTGCGAAGGTTAGAAAACACAGTGGCCCCAGGCATTCCTAAGAGTGATGATATGCCAGGGATTGTACTGCGTGGGTTATGAGATACTGTGAAATATAAGATACAGACCTTGCCTTCTCAGAGTTGACTGTCTGTTCTGATTAAATCATAGAGTCTTGCAACCATCCCTTCAAACAATGTTATTTACTTTTTAAAAATACCAAAAAAGGGGAGGGGTTTCCTATGGGATTGTCAGTAATATTTTTACTAAATATGCTAAGAGTAGATTTTGCACTTTAATTCATTTCTTTCTCTATTTCTCTCTCCTACTAGATAATTTTCAGGATCAAATGAAAAGGGAACTAGCCTACCGAGAAGAAATGGTGCAACAGTTACAAATTGTAAGTTGCATTTCTACTTAAAAATAAAGGCAACTGGTTGGGCTTTATTCCTAAACTGTTTTTGCCCTGAAAGCCTTTGGTCCACTTACTTCTCAGCTGGCTTAGATGCTAATTACCCAGAGATTTACTTAGACACAGGATAAACAGATGTGTCAGTACGTTTCCTCGGGATGTAACTACCTACCATGTGTTAATAGACAGATGTGTACACTGCTCCGTGGGCGAACCACAGGTACCTGCGTCATCTTCCAGTGTGCAAACCTCCCAACAGAGCCGGGGACGCACCAGGCACTCGGGGAAGGGCCTTTGTCTTCCAGCTTCTCCCCCACGCCCCCCGTCACTACCCAGACCTGAGTCAGGCTCCCCACAGCCAGTAGGACGAAGTGTGAACACAACCGGCCAAACTCACTTGAAGGGTGGTGCAAAGGGAAGAATTCTTTCCAGACAGAGCGTGTTACTCCAGCCTAATCACCTCTCAAAGTGGGCACTAAGATCCATTTATACAGAAACGGGGAAACAGGAAGATGTCTAATAAATAGGTGTGGTGGGTTTTCTTTTTGTTTTGTATTTTCCTTCTGAATTCCTCGCTCCTGTCCCCCTGCAGACACATCGGGATTATCCACTAGCGCCTTTAAAGCAGCCTCCCCAGCTTGCTCTTTTCCATGAGTATGACGGGGAAACGATTTCTGCTCAGTATTTGTCCGATATTTGTAATCGCCTGGATAAGGACACACACTGGTCCTCAGTGTTGTTCACAGCGTCAGTATAATTCGGGTTGCTAGGCTTTTCGGAGCTGGTGCGTGTTATCCTTACACCACGAAGCACGTGTCTTTGCATACCCGCCCGTCTTGTCTAAAGAGACGGGTGTCTAGCTCTCTGTCAGGGCTATTTAAGAAAGATGGTTATTAATCTTGCCTTCCTGCGTGGGAGAAAGCATGCTTGTGCTCAGGGAGATTGCTGAGAGTCATTTTGAAAGCACCCTTATGTTTCATGTTTCTCCCCATGCCGGGCTCCGTTAAAAGTGCTGCTTGTTGCTCTTAACACCCCCGCTGAGGTTTTACTCGATCTCAAGGGCCGGCTCTCAACTTCAGCTCTGAAACCCACCGCAGCATAAAATGCTTCTTGGACAGGACCTTTCTTCTTGTTCTGTTTCTGTTTGTGTTCGGGGGTGTTTTTGCACCTAAATTCACTGGGAGCAAAAGGGTTTTCTTAAATAGATAGCTTTTGACAATAAGAACTAGTAATTACTTGCTGTGAGTATAATTATTGTTTTCTTTGTCCAAAGGAAGAATTTAAAGATAGAATTGGAGGTAGAGGGATATACAATTTCAAAACCTTACTGATTTTATTCAGGGCATTGTTTTCAGACTCTTAAAACAAAAATTGTCACACATGCAACCAAAAGTTTGTGATTTCAGGGTGGTGGTGAGTCTAGCAAAATGCGCATTAAGAAAGGAAACTAAGTATTCACTTCAGCGCCCCTGTTTAAGGCTAGTTATGTAACTTCAATGTCTTACATTTACTTTGACATTTGGTTTCTTTAGTAAAGGAGGAAATGATATTGCATCCATGTGATAAACAGGCAGCACTGATAGAAGACAAAAGTGTCTCATGTCTTTTGAGATAGTTGGTACATGGAAGATACAAATTGGTATTACTAAACATTTTTATTATTCTGTATTGAAAAATATTTTATCATAGGTATTTATCTAGACAAGTGTTGTTAATTCACATTCCTCTAGATAGTAAATTACTTCTTGTTGCAAATTGAATGCTTTGGGAGAAACTAGAATTTTTCCCCCAGCCCTGTAGGTATAAGTCCTGAAATCCACAAAGGCGTGTCCAGGCTAACAACATAAAAAGAGGTGAAATACACATGATTTGTCCCTCCTGCTGCTTCCTCTTCTTTGGTGTCCCCTACCAGAAGATACTAATAGCTTCTTGCTGCCTCCAGGGCCCAGCATTAAATAGCTATCAGTAAACATTTGTTGATTGAATCACTACCCATGGATGCTCCCTGCCCCAACTCTGATATTCTCATTTAGCTGACCTCTTAACTCTTTTCCAAATTTCCCTGGTTTGGTCCTGAGTTTCTCAAATGTTCTTTTGTGCTAAGTAACTACTATCAGAATTACTAAAGGAAGGCATACTATTGAATTATAGAAAGCTTATGTATTACTGTACTGTCCTTGTAACTAATAGACACAAGCTTTAAGGTCTGCAAACTTGAGTTCAAGACTCATCCCACGTAGTTCACTAAGTGTCAGTTCCTCAACCAAAGGGACCTGTTGTAAGATCTGCCTTCTGCCCTGATAAGAATATAGTGTGGAGTAAGTATGCAATAAACATGAAATGCCCACGCAAGTCATAAAATGCTATGCCAACATGAGTAATATCCCTTCTCAAAGTAGTGCTTTAATAGTTGAACTATTTCAGCCTTCGTGGCTAGAGATGTTTTTGTGCAGGAAAGACCTGTGTTTACTATATGCCATCTGCTTTAGAACTGAGGCAGCAGACTCAAGTTTCCTTGAATAGACGTTTATCTCCTCCCTTATTCAGCTTGTTTCACTTGCTAAAATACCTATGGGAAGTGCCTTTAGAAAATTATATCCAAAGATTATCAAGAAGTTACTAGGTATCATAATTATTGACATTCTCAATATTTTTAGTTGAATGACCTAACTCATCTGTTAATATGGTTACATACTTTGCTCCCTGAGAACCCAGCAATCCACTCCAAATTATTTTATTATTTTATATTTAAAGTTTATGGAACAATATATTACAGAATAGTCATCTGTCTACAGAATAGGCATTTTTTTCCTGTAGATGAAATAAAAACCCACTCTATCCTGCAATAATGGAGAATTCAAATATATTAAAATCATCATATTTTGTAACGATCCCCATAGACCCAAGTGCACTTGTACTATGTTGTTACAGTGTTCTTATTCAAAATATTATATCCAAAGCATCTTGGGTGTCATTGCTGTAGGAAGAAAACTTATGAATTTCTTTGGCTCCTGCATGTTTAGATTCTCCACTGACTATAATTTCTGCATCATTGCTTCCTTTTCCAGTTTGTTAAATGCAAAGTTATGATGACTGTAGAGTCAAATGGTTGACTCTCCTTGTGCTCTTATCTCAATGTCAGATTTAAAGCATATGTATATTTAACATTTATACATGACCACAAGCTAACTTTAAAAATAGCTTACAATTAGAGCTTCATAGTACTTAACAAAGTTTGTGTTAAAGCCCCCGACCCCTGTCCTAAGCTTTCTAATGCTTAAAATGTTTCATTACTAAACCAGATATATTTATACAGAGAAATATAGTCCTCTCACTGTGAACCAAATACAAAAGTTACAGAATTTAGAAAGTTCATGAAGAGGTTACTGTTTAGTATAATACAGAGACACAGATTTCTCATTCACGAGTGAATTGTGATTTTAGGAAAAATGTGTTTTGCTTTAAAAACAAAATTAATCACCCCTTAGGGGAAAGAAGAAGGTGAAGAAACTTCATAAACACATGCATTGTTATATGTCAAGTATGTCTCAGTTTTAAAAAAGGTGAAGATATTTTACTCTGTATAACCTTTTGATTAAGGTTTTTCCAAAAACTGGAATATAATACAATTTACAATACAAGCTGAGACTATTCTGATGCCTTGATAACCTTTTTTATATTATTGCTAATTTGGCAACAATTTTTTTAAGCCAGTGCATTTATATGTGAGCTACTATTGTCGGTTTGTTGAAAATACATACTTTTGTAGTCATAGTTCTTGAAGGACATGCTGCAGCAGAGAGCACATGATAAATGACTAGACCCAGTTTCACATCCTTTGAACTTGCTGGATCGCTACCAAGAGGCCCATAGACGGTGCAAATGCACTAGTCCTGAAGTGCCCTCTGCTGTTT